CATGTTGCGAAAACAAGGTCAAACAACCTCTATACGACGAAAGGAGACTGCGACCACACAAAAGGCCACATCATCTCGATCTTCAAACTTGTATATATATATATATATATATACCTTAAACCTATGCATTTTGATGGAGTATAAAATGATTTGGTTAGTTCAAGTCATATAATTCAATTTAGAAGCATGAGAGTGTGCTTGTGTGTATTCATGTGTATGTATATGCAGGAAATTGCGATTTCGATTTCGAATCTTTTCATAACACACTTTTGCTCGAAGTGTGAGTTTTTTAAGCCAGCATTTCTTCACATATAATGTTGCTCAATTTGGCTTAAGATTAGGCTACATGGACGGTTATGAATTTGGTTTCTGTCATTCGGCTTGTGTAGTTAGATTATCCAAGGCTGCCTTGCTAGGCATATGACAGTTTCAAGGTGTTCATATGTTGTAGACATTTCCTGATAACAGTTCAAATAAATTTTGCACTAAAAGAATTTCGTTCTCAGCCTTCCCTCATAAGCAACATGTGCCTATTAAAACATATTTCTAGATTTACTTGATTCTATGCCTCTCAAAAATTACTACAACTTTATAATATGCTTCTGGGGGTTTGTATTTGTTTTTGATCTGAGTGCTGTTGAAACTGCTTCTCCGATCAAAGTAGCTTTAAATCTATCAATCGTGTAAACTCATGTGATTCTACTTAATTAATAATAAGTAGTATGAAGTATTCTCGTATTTGCTGTTAGCTCGTTTTAGGTGTAGAAAACAAGCAACATTTGAGTTTCTATTTCCTATATCACTTTGTGTAGGCTGAAATAAAATGCAGTTATCTCTTCAGCCAAAATAAGGCATAAATTTGGTTTTTGTCACCTCAAGTTAATAAAATAGGTCTTCTTCCTCCACAGAATGACAGGGCCAAATTTCATTGTGACTTTTGTGGCACAATCCAATGATTTCGGCACCCCTCGCCGATGACCATTTTGGGCTTTGTCGTTGATGCTAATACTAATGCGGGAATCACTAACTCGGAGTGAAAGTGAGCTTATCCGGTTTAGGCATTTCTGGCCTCGTTGTTTCATGACTAGCGTATTTCCTCCTGAAAGGGTACGGCTCGAGTTCGAACTCCGCTCTACCAGACCGGTATTGCCTTGGTCTAAGAATGCCTTAGTTGTCAATACAATTGGTTGAATGCGCGTAGATGAATAATGGAGTTAAATTTGTCTTAGCGGCTAGGCAAGATGTTTGCAAAATCTGCCAAAATGCCTTGGTGATGAGAATTGGGCTGCGAATCTGTACCAGAGAGCACTAGTGTATGCCACTTATAATAGGATAGATAGACGAATTAAATAAATATGCATGCCATTAGAGCCTTGCAGAAATCATATGCTAGGTTGAACAAACAAGGCTCTCGGGGAATTCACCTCCGACCTCCCCTTGGGACTAGATGAAAAAGTTTGGTTGAATGTAAAATTTCCGCGAGAAAAGTGTGAGTGATGAATGAATGGGGGTATCAATGTAGAGGTGAAATCAAAACATAGTGGAGAGAGGCAAGATCCCGGCCTTCACGAGGTGGTAACAGTAAGGAGTGTGAATTATTAATTTCTGAACGCCCCTTGGGTACGTGCCTCGGCGTGTACACTTTTGGCACGAAATACAGACGCAGACCTGTCAGGCGAGGCTTCAACTCGAGCCTGGTACTGGAGCTTTGGGTGGTGGGCAGAAGCGACAGCTCAGAGGAGCTCGGCTAACATAACCAAACGAGGTCACGACAGTCTGTTTAGCTCGTGTCACAAACTGCCCTACGTCTCCATCATTTCGTTCCTTTTTCTATTCCAGTTGAGCCCTGTTTTCTCTGCTGCCGGATACAGCACTATCAAATGGGCATACACACATGCAAATACATACATAAACATGGAGCATATGCACATGCACATACACATGTACATGGAACAGCCCTACCAACCCTCCTCCATTCTTCTCACTCAAGCCCAGTCGAGTCCCATCTGTCGGCCCTTGGCCCAGTGACCTCGGCCCGTTCCAGTGCCCGGGCAGATGCCTCGCCTGTTAACTGTAGCCATGACGGCCTCTGGCCCGAGCCGACGGCGCGACCTGGCGGCTGTTCCACGAGTCGGCTGAGGGGAGGCGTCAAAACATGTAACTTCCTTGAGCCATTAGACCCCGATGCCTCGCCCGTGAGGAGAGTAGGTTGGGCAGTGGGTCAGGCGAGAGGGCAATTTGGCAAATGAGCTGGCCAACCGACGGTTGGGCTTGCCCTTACAACCATGACCTGCGTCCACAGGACAGGCCTCAAAGGGTCTCCTTTGCCGAGGCACAAGTCTGCCTCAGGTTGGTGCGTGTGTTGGCTGAACTCGGAGCAATCCCGCTGAAAGTAGTCGGCCAGGCAGTGACCTTCGCGCCAGGACTCTTCTGCAAAATGCATTAGCAGGGCCGACTTGCAGAAGCGACCGTAGATGCGCTCAAGCCGCCCTGCCTGCCTGCCAGCGGCTGAGGTGTAAAGTCTGTCTTTGGGAATAGGCAACACAGACGAGCTGGTTTGGGAGCAAATTATGCTCCCACTAAGCGAAGGAATTCTCCATCGACAGCTCAGCTCGACGCTAAACATCGCCCAGTTTCCCACCACATCCGACCTGTTGCACTTCCTTTCATTCTGAGGGAAAGTGTGCAATGAACATTGTCGACAGTTGATTTCACATCGAGACGACGGCAGATTCCACTTGACCAGCTGTCGATTGACTGTATGGGAGTGCTTTTGTTGACGCCGTCCCAGTACCGGTCACCTTCTTCGATTCTTGTGAAAACGTGCTATGCCTAATATATGTGAAAAACTGACCAAAGTACTCAACCAATAAAGCGTGTTTTGTGCCTTTACTTAAATCATGGTTTCTCACTTTTAAGATTTCCATCACATAATTGAGAAAGGCTCAGTGCAGGTGGATCGGTGTCGTATGGCTACTTGCAGGTTTTGTAAGTAGTATTGTAGTAGTTTACGAGAGTATTCCGGTTGGTAGACTGATTCAAGGTTAACAAGAATGTTCCAGTAAAGCCATTCGACGGCTAGTCAGGAGTTCGCCGTCAAATTCTGGTGGGATCGACCTTCAAAGCTCTTCACCAAACGCTTTCACTTGAAATAGAAGTAAACTCAACGATTGTAAATCTGGAGATTTCTCGAAACACAACCTTGCTTTGTTTATAATAATAGGTCATCAGGGCCTCTCCCAATTCACATGTACACAGACACACATATAGATATGAATATCTATGGGGAGTTTTAATGAAATATATATGAATCTGACAGTGTAAGCTAAGAAGGTACTGGGTACGTTGTAAGTAGGTTTCTAGAAGTAAAGTGGAGCAGGCTTCAGACTGTTCAATCAGATAAATGAAAAAAAACCGACAAGAGTAAAGAATAACACATTCTGATGAGATACAGCCTGAAATAGCTGACGCCAAGCCGGGTTGAGCCCACGCTTTTGACTCTGAGACTTGAGGGTGAATTAAGGACTGATAGTCTAGCACTTTCCTCATTGCAATGAATAGGCCCCATGATGTTATTGGGTTTGCTGCATCACAAGGATGGACTGCAGTTTCAGCTTCGCCCGGGTCTCTTCTGTACCCTCAAGTGGGGTTCAATATTGCATGGTTGGTGTCAAGTGACAGCTAGTTACCATACCACAATTCGCCCTATTTCATTTAAGGCAAGTGGTTGTCCTAACAATAACATGAGTAGGCTTCATGATTCTGGTGAATTTCATTTAACCTGGAAAATAACTTTTAGATAGCAAAGCTGTATGAAAGTAATATGCCTAAAGGATTTCATCGGCTTCAGCGAAATAGGCCGAAGGAAGGTCTTCTGGCATGTGACATGACTTTCCATTTCGAAGGAATATTTGGTTGGAAGGAATTTGTGAAATGGTCTCATTGGAAAACGATTAGACACATTACATTGGTTTAGTATATTTTTTGTGTTATCACGTAAATTATGGATTCCTGCTTTAAGGATGTCTCTCGCGGCGATACAAACGAAAGATAAGAAAATATTGATCAAGATAGCAGAATGGTGAGGCAAGGAATTCTGCGCAAAGATCAACACTCTTCACAATGCGGTAAAAAGTCAGAATTCTTTTTCCGGTAAGACCAGTTCACGAATTCATTCCAGCAATCAATTCTTTATAAATAGAATTCCTCCTTCGGTTTCGATGAGAACAGTTCACGAATACTTTCCAGCCAGCTTTATCTTCGAAACGGAAATGGAATGTTACATAGCTCATAAATCCTTTAGTGGTGAAACCATTTCATTAATTCCTTCAAGCAAACTTTTCCTTCGAAATGGAAAGTCATGTCACAATATTCCTACTTCGGTTTCCAGTGAGACCATTTTGCAAATTCCATCTAGCCAGATTTACTTCGAAATGGAATGTTGTGCCCCAAATCTCCTCATTCTTTTAGCGTTAAGAGCCTTTCATGAATTCCTTCGAAATGGTATGTCATGTCATAATAATCCTAATTCGGCTTCGTGTGAGACCATTTCACAGATTCCTTCAAGCCAACTTTTCCTTCGAACTGGAAAGGCTTGTCATAATAATCCTAATTCGATTTCTGATGAGACTATTTTCCGAGTTCCTTCCCGCTATTATTTCCTTAGAAATGGAAAGTCATTTTACATAGCTCCTAATTTGTTTAGTGGTGAGACCATTTCCCTAATTCCTTCGAGCAAACTTTTCCTTCTAAACGTAAAGTCATGTCGGAATAATCTTCATTTTGTTTCAGATGAGACTCTCTCGTGAGTACCTTTCTGCTATTCTTTCTTTTGTAATAGAATGTCATGTTAAATAGTCATAATTCCTTAAGCGGTGATATCATTTCACCAATTCCTCCAAACCAACTTTTCCTTCGACCAGTAAAGTCATTTCCCATTAATCCTTCTTCCGTTGCAGGTAGGACCATTTCAACAATTACTTACAGCAAACTTTTCCTTCGAAATGGAAGGTTATATCGCATAAATTTTTATTCACCTTCAGGTGAGACCATTTCATGCACCACTTCCAGCAGACCTTTTCATTCAAGTGGGAAGTTACGTCACAATTATCCTCCTTCGGTTTCGGGTGGGACCATTTCTCGTACTCCTTCAAAGTGAAAATTTGTATCTCATAAAATCACTAAGTAATGCTTCCAAATCCAGTTTTTCTTAGGGTCTTACAGTATATTTAC